GTTTAAAATTTTACAAAACTAAACAGCCTACAGTATTTTTACAGTCTTTATTTTACAGTTAAAATACATGTTTATCAAATAAAGTCTAATGTTACAACTAAACCTGGATCATTTTAAGGGCGCTGTCCAACTAGGGGGTGCCATAAATGGGGAAAATAAATTATAAGTTTTAATTTTCCAGGGTAGTATACCCCTGGAGACCGGCCCTGTTTGGACTCATCATGACCTGGATGACTGAGAACCTTCACCAGCTTCGATGCATAAAGTTACGATTTTTAGTTTTATGCCTAAAAACCCGTTAACAGAACTCACTCAGAGGCGGACGTTAGACCCAGGAAGGCCTGGATGACCAGCGGGAGCTCGTACTTCACGATGAACAGGTAACTGGACATGGCTGCCGTGGAGGACAAAGAGAAGATGACCACATTCTGCTTTGACCCAGCAGAACCTCCGACCCAGACCCGGACCTTACATCTTACCTCCGATGTTGTGGAGCGTGATAACGATGGCAGCCAGGATCTTCCCCGGCTGACCGAAGGCCCTCAGGCCCAGCTGCTCGTAAGCTCGAATACCTGCGGAACAGAAGCAGTCTGGCTCAGAACTGAACCGGGTCAGGTTCAGGGTTCAAGGACAGAAACAGGGAAGGTTTAACTTTTACCGATGACTCCGGCACTGCGTAGCAGCAGATGGATGGAATAACAAGACAGACAGGCGATACATGTGAGCAGGATCCTGTAAAACACACAGAGTCCAGGTTTTAGTCTCTCGGACCTTCAGCGTCGACGTTTTTCATTTATTGTTTGGTTTGTTTGTGTTGAAATGAGGGTCTGAGGTCAGAACGGAGCTCAGATAAACACCTGATCCATCAAACCTGCAGGTTTTCCTCCCTGGAGGAAACGGAACAGGGAATTTATTGTTATTTAGCTCACTGTTCTGACATTATGCTCATTTTTACTAAATGTTAAAGTTGAATATTACATTATCAATCTAAATGTGTAAACCAAAATGTAAAAGTGAAATCTTAAATGTTGCAGCTAAATGTTAAAGTTTACATTTAAGTATTTTTGGAATGGTGCAGCTTTTACTTTTGGTACAAGGTTTTTGTTGTGACATCATCCTCCTGCGACAAAATCAAATGCTAAGGCTGCTAAATACGGTATTTGAAAATTTCAATTCAAAATGTGTTCATTGTGCAGGTCGGACACTGGCTGCAGCTGCAAGTTTGATGTCTTGAAGCGTTTAAACTTTAAAATTTAGCCACAACATTTAAGATTAAATTTTTGTTTTTAGATTTGCACATTTAGATTTGGGATTTGCTCGGTTTTTGTTGTGATGTCATCATCGTAACCCTGACAAACATCAGGGCTTCACTGTGTATTGTTTATTTTACTTTTGTTTATTTTTTCTTTTATTCTTGTCTTTCAAGTTAATTTTTATCTTTGTGCTGTCCCCTGATTCATCTGTTCACAGCTGCAGCCTCTTCTCTCATCAAGCTCCTCTACTTCCTGCCCTGATACCTTTACTCTTATTTTCTTCATACCTTAAATTAAAACATTTAAATGTTCTGTAACAGTCTAAGAATTATTTATTAACCATATAATAACAGGTCTGATATTTCACACTGTGTTGAAATTCGAGTGTGTGTGTGTGTGTGTGTGTGTGTGTGTGTGTGTGTGTGTGTGTGTGTGTGTGTGTGAGACTCACAGCTGGAGGTTCCTATTACATGATCTCTCG